ATAGAAGTAAACAAATAATTTATTTAAAGCAATTTTGAAACGTTTTAGAGTAAAAAGAAATTTTAATATGTATTTTGTGATTTGTACAAGAGTTTCTTCTAAAACTCTCTCACTACCGATTTTGTGCTAGAAATAGGATACATTCTCTCTTTTTATCTTTCTCTTTCTCTCTCTGCATGCACTTTTTAGTGCCGTTAGCAGTATTCTCTCTGACCTTTGCCTTCTCTGAAAACATTTATAAGCCCTGAATGAAAGTTGCCATTTGAATATTTCACATTTCTTTGTCTATTTTTTGTATGGATTTCTACATTACTTAAATAGAGTAAGAGTCTATTGTCATTAACCAACTCTGATATTTAGTTCTCTACACATTTAACTCATTTTGAAGGCTCACTAATTCATTTTATTCACGGAACATTGTTGTATACTTCTCAACTAGTTATTGGCGAGCTCCTAAAGCTTGAGACGTCGCTATAAAAGCCTTTCAAAGCCAATCAGCCTTAAGTAGATTCTATTTTATTTTGATTTTTTGCTGCATAATGAAAGATCAATCCCTAGTGGAAATATAGTAAGTACAAAAAATTAATTGAACTTAATTTTTGCATAAATTTTCTGAATGCAATTTCAATTTTATCAATAAGTTATGGGTCTACTTATCTCATAGTACAAAAAATACGCGCTGATGAAGCTGAAAACTATGACTTTAGAGGACAGATGGACAGTTTTAATTGGGTTAATGAAACTCAAAAACTACCCAATATATTATTTAAGAACTGGCTACATTAAAAAAGCTTGAGGTTTATTAAAGAGAAAGTGAACTAAAGTTGGAATCCATGCCAATCTAATTTAAGGAATGTTTCTAAAATAGAGTCATTATTTCAAAGACTCATTAAATGATTGATCACTTGCAAACTCATATCGACTTATGCTCAAAAAATAATTACTTATTCTCCAAACTCATACGATAGATGTCGCTGGCGGAAAAGCTGTTAAAAAGCCCTTTTGTAATGATTTTTCTTCACCTTTTACTTTAAACAAAACATTCCCATTACAACTATAAAAATTTGATTACCAAAAATTTCCAATAAAATATATGTATGCTGTATCTCAAACAACTTTACTCCCAGGAAATGCGCAATGTTATATTTTAAGCCTCACCCATTTAATTAAAGCAATATTATGTTTTCGAATACTTTTCTCATACATAACGAATTTTAACAGTAATTTTTTTTTTATCAATTTCCAGAAACACAAAAATATGTTCGATTTTTCCTTTTACTCCACAGCACATGCCGGCAAGTCATTGGAAGCTGTCATTTTGAGTAAATCACATTTCGCTGTGAAGAAATACCGTTCAGAAGAAAACTGTTTCAAGCTTGAAACAGCGAAGCACAACAAATAACATTTCCGTTGACGATAAGACATAGCAGGGAAGAATATGTGTTATTATTGTATTTTACTTAGTGCCAAGAGACTATTGTTTTGGAGATGAAAAAAGAAAAAATTTTAAAATCGAACGGCATAACTCTTCACTTACGAAACCGCTATTAGCGCCTGCTGGCGGTAACTTATCTAAGAAAAAATAGACAAAAACTTGTTTAATTTCAATTTTGATTGCTACAAAGTTGTCTCTACTTATCAAAAACAAGCAAAGAAAAAAGAATTAAAAGAAATTTAAAAAAAAATAATAATAACAAAAAGTTTAAAAGAAATGACAACAACAAAAACATACAGTACACTAACTACACTGGTATACTACACGCTACATTTGAAATTTCTTCGAGCAACGACTATTTCAACTTCAAATATCTGCTTACCACTGCGCCTCAGCCGGCACTTCTGCTGGCAGCTAGGGAAACACTTAATTTACAGTTACTCTTTGCAATTCGATAAAGAATTTTTCTTCTCTTATTTTCCATTTCCTTATGTGCTCATTCATTCTTTGGGGGGGTGGTTAGTGGTTTAGTCAACTTTCTTTTCGCTTCATTTTTTTTATTTTTCATTTTTTGTTTTATTTGAACAAATAACATTTTATTAATGTGTGTAAATTATATTGTTTAATTTGTGTTATTTGATTATAATGTTTGATTTATCAGGGCTATTGTTGCTGTACACTGTAATCGGTAGACTGGGTTGTGTTTACTTGTATGGATCTATTTTTGCTTGTAAGTCATTTTGGATTTTCTCGTTGGTTTGTTGACTTTAGAGTTTTATTTGTCGGTGGTTAATACAGTGCAATTGTTGTGCCAAGGGATTATATTAAATAATATAAGTACAATATGTGCATACACATATGTTCATGCAATCAACAACTTTTGGTGGTTGTAAATGTTTTGCTCTGAAAAAAAAATTTAGTTTTGTGTGCATTTTTTTTTTTTTTTTTTTTTTGAAGACATCTACTTATTGTTTATTGTGTGTTACTAAAATCAAAAAAAAAAGCACTGAAATTTTAGAAAAAACTTCACTGCAAAAATGAGAGCTGTTTCAGTACACCTAAAAATAGTAGCAGAAAAAAATTAAAACTGTTTTTGAAACCCTTTAGAGCTTTATTTTTTTCAGTATACCAAAGTACGTGAAATTCCAAGACTGTTATCTGGGAGCCTGTTATATTCTTTTATAACACTATAATAATAATTATAAAGAAATCATTTGGTTAATAAAAAAATGTATTAACTTTCTTTATGATTTTGACAAATGTTTATATGTATGTATTTAATTTACAATTTGTTTTTAAACAGCTTTTAGTTAGTGCAATTAATTGCTGCATTGTTGACACATTTACAATTTGTTTAATTAAGAGAAACATTAATAAAAAGAATATACATGAAAATAAACAAATTAAAAGCTTACAAACACCTCGGAGGCGGTTAGTCAGGCGCAATAAAAGGAAAATATAAAAAATGTATATTTGTATAAAAATAAATAAAAATTAATTTTTATTTATTTATAAAGCAAATGGGGAGCACTCAACAAACAAACAAACACACACGCTGACTATTTTCATTCAAACAATCAAGACTGCGTCGCGTCATACACAAAACAATAGCATGAATGTACGCACCATAAACGCGAGTATATGTACGTATATATGTATATTTTTAGCGGTGTGCAAATGCATAAAAATATAACATTCAAATGCAGTTGGGTTTTTTGCTCAACGCAAATCGTGTTGTAATCAAGTTAAAAATAGCTGCAAAAGTAACGTATACAGACAAATGTAGAGGAGCCATACACAGTTACTATGTGTGGAGAGATGATGCATTCTATATAATTGATACATATGTAACTAAACTCTCCACCACACGCGTGCTGTTGCTTTTACTAACAAATTCATAAAAAACATAATTTGTTGTGCCACTAAAAACGTACCACAGAAATAGCAATTAGGCAATCATTTAGCCAATCTCTGTGTCGAATATGCATTTATATATGTATAATATATTCGTATGACTATGTATGTGTGTGTGCGTGAAACTAAATGAATGATTCGGTAACGGTATGATGACTGAATGAGTACGTGTAAGTAAGTACGCGTGTTTGTTGTTGTTGCCATTTGTGCATTGCATTGTTTTATGTGCAAACACAAAAAAAATATATATTTTATTTTTTTCCAACTTTTTTTCTTCACACTTGTGCAGCATTTTAATGTTGTTCTAGTACTTAAATGTAATTGCGGAAAATTTTCACAATTTATGCTCGCGCTTACATATTAATTTATGTACATACACGTATGTATGTATAATGCATGTATGGTGTCATGTAGTGTGTGCTTTTGACATTGCCGCTGCATCAAAAACAACAACAAAAAAATAAGAAATTAACAACTGTACGCACAAATCATAAAAGTCGAAATTAAATTTATAACCAAGAAAAGGCGGCATAGCAAAATTTCTATTCTATTCTCTACGCACATCATAAATTTAACGGTGTTTTTCTCAAGGATGTCTATAGTTTATGATTGAAAAATATATGTACTTTAATAAGTAATTTAAATGTAATTTTTCAAGCATTGTTTTATGCGAAACTAACAGTTTAAGTCATTTTATTAAGGGTGTCCTTAACAACAGTATTGGTTTTTAATGCCTAAACTTCCTATTAGAATAAAATCTATTTTCCTATTAAAAGTTCTTAGAAGCATACGCATCATTACTATATTAGACTCTGAGAACACTGAAAAGTTTAGTTTATGTTCTGGAAGTTTTTTTTGCCGGATTTTTGCGAGGGATTTTTTCTTTAACTCATACACAAACACTCCCTCGCAGACTTATTAAAGATTGTTAAGAAATCATTTTTTAGTCACTGTTAAATTCTTCATAAGAATGATGGTCTCATGGGAAAACATACCTCGGTTAAATTTTTCTTCTCTAAGAAAAGTGTGTATGCTTTTAGCCTGTACTATCTGCTTCTGTTTGCTCTTCTCATCTCAATCCTTTCACTAGTTTTACTGGTATCATACAAAAATGAGCCACTAACAGATCGACCGATTGGGCTCATATACTAGGTCGCCTTGAAAAAAATGTTCCGAGAAAAATTTTTATCGGCAGATTGCGTTGAGATCAAACGTAGAGCATATTTTAACCGAAAAAGAAAGAAATTTATGAACTGAAAGTTTGTATCATAAATGACGCTCGAAATTTACTCGCTAGGCGGCGCGGTGGTAGAATTTTGGAAAAATAAATATATTAATATTTTAATATTATTTAACTATTGTTGCTTTTTTCTTTTAATAACAACATTTTTCTTTTGTGGTTTTTTTTTTTTTTTTTGTAAACACGGGGGGAACTCTAGATCTAATTTCAGTCGTATTCGCCTGGTATTAAACATTCTCAGGTTATTACGTAGCTGCCAGTTTTCTAAAAAATTGGTTTTGAAAAAAATTGATGCTTTTTAATCTATGTTCTTTCTCTCCTTTGTTCTAGTATTTAAATATGCAGCAAATTTTTCTTCCATTTGGAAAATCTTAAATATTCAAAGCATATAATTTTTCTTTGTGAACTTACCGGATCTAAATCGGAATCCCATATATCCTTTAAATCACCATCATAAAATCCTTCCATTTTTGCGTTTCTCTTTTCCTGTTGTTATTGTTTTCTTAACTAATGTGTTGTCTTCTTGTTGTAGTTGGTGGTTCTAGCGCCGCACTTGATTTGAAGTCTCAAGGGGACAGAGTTTAACCGTGGCACGTTTTTGAAGCAAGGGTCGTCGTCAATCAGTTGTTGCCGGTTCTCTAAGGAACCGCGTTGTTTAAACACTTTTATACAATAACTGCACACTTTAATAAATTATTTTATTATTTGTTTATTTCAGAAATCAAGGAAAGAAAATAATGACACAAAGTTAATTTTTTCTTTAAATTTAATAATTATAAAAAAACGTCAACGCATTGTAGCTTAAATACACTTGCCTTGCCGTTAACGGATAATAATAATATCAGATTTTTTACGTTTCATTAAGCAATTGATGGTGTGAAGAACGTTACGTTAACGGTGTTGCGTTGATTCAACGCTTATTAAGAAGTGATATTTAATTTTTTCCCTTGGCGATTTTTTGATTTGATTATTTTTAATTTCAATTTCTTGTTTTTTTTTTTTTGAATTCTAATTGCAGTTGGATTTGATTGTTTTAGCTTTTTCAGTCGCTTGAATTTGTTGGTTTTTTGTTGTCTGAATTTTTTTGTTTGTGATAGCCGCGTCCGGTACGTGATTTTCTTTAAACTCTACAATATTTTTTATAATGTTTGTTTTATTTTTGACTTTTTTCTTTAGGCTTTTTTTCTTTTTATTTGTGTAACTTGAACTTCGTACGTGTGAGGTCGTAGAGCTCGACTTCTTGCTCACAGATAGACACTTTTTTTTTTAGTTGTTTGCGTAGTAAGTTAAACTGAATTAAATTTTTTTCTTTTGCTGAACTTAATTTTCTTTTTTGCTTTATTCCTTTTGTGCTTACTATGATTGTTTTTTTTTTGTTTTAATATTAATTTTTTTTATTATTATTAGTTTTTTCTGTTTTGTTGTTGATTCTCTTGCGAGTTCAAGAATTTAACCTACTTTTAAGCTTGACTTTTTGTAAATTTTTTTGCCGGCTCTAGAACTTGAGAAATATTTTCGTTTGTTTTTGTTTTTTAATTTCTTTGCTGCTGCATTTACTGTGCTCAATTGTTGCGTTTGCTTAAAGTGTTGCCTCTGAAGTTTTCAAGATTCTGGAAAAGAAAAAAAAATGGAGTTTTATTGTTTGTTGTTGTTGATAAAAAATATTTTACTGAGTTATTATGAAATTTGTAACGCTACTTTTTACTTTAATTTTTCTACTTTAACTTCGTTTTTTTATTTTATTTTATTTAACTTTATTTAATTTTATTTTACTTTATTTTTTTCTTTCATTTTAAATAAGATTAAAATTAAATTAATATTTTATTTTTGTTTAATTATATTATTTTGGTTTATTTCATTTTACTTAATTTTTTTATTTAAGCTTATTATATCTGATTTGATTTGATTTATTTTCTTTTATTAAATTTAATTTTTATGTTCAATAACTCTTTTTTCAATTTATTCTTCTTCTGTTTTGAATTTTTCTTTAGTTACTAAATATTATTATTTTATATTTTTAATTAGTGCATTTTTGTAAATTACTTTTTTAATTTGTTTAAAAAGATGATATTAATAAATATTAGATTTTCTCTAGGCGTTAATGATCTTCAACATAATTTCCTTAATTTTTTCCTTCAAATTAATTTGAATTATTTTTTTTTTTTTTTTTTTGGTTTCTTCTTTTTTAAAAATCTTTTTCGTACAAATTCGCTCAGTTGTTCCTTGCACACGGCCTTATTTTCTCTGCAAATATCTACACCACCCATAAATTCTTTAAATTCTTCTTACACCAAAACCCGTTTACGCTTTTATTGCATGCAACAGATTTATTGCGTAAACCAATATGTTGCACTTGCTGCAGCCACTTTGCTTACTTTGCTGCTTGTTTTGCTTTTGTTGCTTGGCATTTCTTCTCTGCTTAGCATTTACTGTTGCATCAATGCAAGAAGAACAGCAACAACAATACTCGCTACGTATGTATATTCCACGCAACTCCTGCTTGGCCTGCTGGCTTCTTGCTTACTACTACTTGTTGTTGCTGCTCTTTCCAGTTGTTGTTGGCCGGCAGCAACCTGTTGCTGCTTCATCAATTTCGCTAGGAAAAATAAAATAAAAAAGCAGAAAATTTTGTCTGTACGTTTGTGTATACACGTGTTGGTGGCCACTTGTTGCCTGTTGTCACGGTCGTGCAACTTGTTGCTCGCGCTGCAAGCTGCTTCTTTTATGCTTGTTTGTTTATATGCATGTACATGTATGTGTATGTATGCACTTTGCTTTTACTGCACGCTAAGTTTTGTTTGCTTTTCTTCTTTGATTTTCCATTTCTTTTTTGTCTTTTTTTGTTTCTTCTTTTATTGTTGGCTTATTGCACACTCTTGTTGTTGGTTGCCAACTTTTCACGGTATTTTACCAGCTGCGCGACGTTACGCTTGCCTGTTGCTTTCTTTATATGATTTTTGTTTTTTTTTGCTATTTACTTCATACATACATATATGTGTATGCATATACATAGCTATATTTATGTTTCTAACTGAAAAGCACATAAACTTATACATACATACATACAAACAGCTGGAAAAAAATTCTTATTAACTTTGATTGCTGCATCTCCCTTGCAATTATTAGCTGTTGTTTTTGTTGTTGGCGTTGTTGCAACCAGCTTAGCTCGTTGGCTGGTTGACCGGTTGGCTACTTGCTTACTTGCCTAACAGCCAGACAGCCCGTCAATCAGGCAATCAGTCAATACGTCAATTGTTGACTTTGCCTTTGACTTTGAGACTCCGTGGTTCGTTTGTTTGTGTGTGTCGCTCTGTTGGTTGTATTTATTTGGTTAAGCTGCGCGCTTAACGGCCACTTGGATTTGTATGTTGATTGCAACAACTTGTTTTTGTTGTTGACGCTGTGCATTTTTTTATTTTTACTTCTAATATTTCACTCCCTCATTCTCTCTCTCTTGTTTTTACAACTTTTTCCAATTTCATTTGTTTGCATTTATATATTTTGTTTTTTCTTTTTTGCCTTATTTTTCACTGCACTTTTTTCACTGTTGTCGTTGTTGGCATTCTTCTTTTCTTGTGGTTGTTATTATTATTAGTTTTTCTCGCTTGCTGCCGCTACCCGCCACTTGCATACATACACATGCACATGTACATATATATTTATTGGTTTTTACAGTTGATTGTCGGTTAGCTTGTTGAGAAATTGGCTTTTAGCTGGTGGCGTAATAACTTTTTCTCTTTCAATACATACATATATTGGTTTTTCTGTGCCAGTTATTCTGGGTTTACATATTTTTTTCTATCTTCGTCTGCTACTTCTTCTACTTCTTCTTCACTTGCCAACACTTGTTGCTCTGCCACAAATATTATTTACTGCTTTAACTGGAAAAATTCATAAGCGCTTAGCTTATGTATCTATATGTATACATTTGTATGTGTTATGCACGCGTGCTTGTTTGTGTGTGTGTGTGTGTATGGGTGTGCGATGGGGGCGGTTGATTGTCCAGCTACGCTTCTATCAGCTGGCTTTACAATTTATTACCACTTTTCTATTTTTTATTCTGCTTTTCTTGCTTTTGTTTTTGTAAAATTCTGACACTGGATGGAATGGTGTTGTTGCGCCTGTTGCTTACCGCGTAATCAATTATTTGGCCTTTGTTGTTGTTTATTTTTGTTTTTTTTTGCTTTTTATCAACGCGTTCAAAGTGCAGTAAATGTGTATGTATGTATGTGAATGTGTGTGTTTTTCGCACTTTTTGATTGGATTATTTCGCATAATTTGTTTTTGTTTGTATTTTCCTATTGCTTTATTGTTTTTGTCCACTTTTATTGTTTGTTGATTTATGAGTTTGGCGTATATTGAATGATTCAATGGTGTGCGTGAGTTTAGTAAAGCAATAACGGTAAAGAAGTTATAAATTAAAAACAAGTGGAAATCGAAATTTTCGAATGAGAAGATATTTTTAATTGAAAAAGTTCCTTAAGGTATATTTTTGAGCTAAGCTAGAATTGTTTGGGAAAACTAAATGATTTTTATCTGGCAATAAACAAAAACAAAAATACTAGAAATAATGAAATCAAAATCCGAAATTGTGAATATAATGGTTTGGGCATATTATTATTACTTTAGTGTTGTTACTATTATTATTTCAATTATTATAATTATAATTATTATTATTATTATTATTATTATTATTATTATTATTATTATTATTATTATTATTATTATTATTACTTTGTTATTAATATTTTTATTATTATTATTTCTATTTTTGTTCTAACGTTATTGTTATTAATATCTTAGTTGTCTTGTTATTATTATTTTTCTTTATTTTATTATTTTATTGTTAATTGGGAATTCATAATTTTTTTATTAGAATTAAACATTTATTAAAATTAAAATTTGTCAAATATTTTTGAAGGCTTTCGGGAAACATCGTACCCTCAAAAATATGTCTATAGCGAAAAATCTCTATTTGAAAATTTAAACATAAAGAATAAAAAATTAAAACAAAATTTTGGTGAATAAATTATTTTATGAATATTCGAATTTTGATTTACTTCGTTCAGTCCCAAGCATATCTTATCAGTTTTGAATTTATGAAGCATTTTATGTAGATCAATTTAATTTTACTTATAAAATCGGTTTTATTCATTAATTTTTTAATTAATTAAATATAATTTAACTTGAGGATTTTTTGAAATTAATGTTAAATTAAAGATTTTTACTTTAACTTTAGGTAAAAATTTTATTTTTTCCAAAAACACATTTTTATACGTTTCTGAACACGATTTTAGTGTATTGTACTTTGCCAATGCATGCCTCATATATTAATTTGGTTATTTTTTATGTAATTTTGCCATTAACCGTGCTTAAGAGATAATTAAATTGAATATTATTACTACGTTATATTTTGTTTTTATTTATTAATATTTAATTTTACATTATATTTTAGTTAACTTTTTTGTTTTTTAAAAAAATAAAATTTTTTTATTTAATTTTATTTTACTTTGGTTATAAAATTTTAAAAATTTTATTTAGTATTCTTTTATTAAATGTATTTTGGTTTATATTTTGTGTATTCTATTATTTTAGTTTATTTTCTACTATTTTATTTTATGTTGCTTCAACGAATTTCATTTTGCTTGATTTTTGTTTTATTTATTTTTTAACGAATTTTATATTATAATTTCTATTTTGCTCTGGTTTATTTTTCTTATATTTTCTATTTCTGTTTGAATCTGAAATTTTTAAATTTAATTTCAATTAATTTTAGCTTAGATTACTTATTTTTTATTTTATTATATTTTATTTGAATCTATTGTATGTAATTTTAGTCAATTTAATTTATTTTTTTAAAATTATTATTACTTTTTTATTCTATTTTCTTTCATTTAAATTTATTTATTTGTAATTGTTTTTTAAATCGATTTAACTTATATTTGTTATTCTTGTTAATTAATTTTTTTTTAATTTTTTTTTCATTTAATTCTATTTTTTTTAATTTATTTTAAACAAATTTTATTTGACTTTGTTTTTTTTTTTAATTTCATTTTACTTTTTACTTAAGTTTATTTATTTTATTCCGTCATTTTTTTCTATTCTTGTTAATTAGTTTTTCATTTCATTATGTTTAATTTTTTAATACACTTATTTCTTAAGGTTTTTTTTAATTTTTTTTTCTTTTATTATATAATTTAAATTTATATGAAAAATGAACTAGAATTTTTAATTAATCTAGTTTATTTTAAATTTGAATCTATTTAATATTTATTTAAAATTTTATTTTTTATTTTATTTTTTATTTTAAGTTATTTAAATTAATTACATTTTATTTTTATATCTTGTTTGCATTACTTTCCTTCTTTAATGTTTTTTCTAAGTTTACTCAATTTTTTGTTCTTTCTGATTAATTTATTTTATTTATTTTTGCTTTAAATTTTATCATATTTTTATTAGATTTTTTTATATTGTTTATTTATAACGTCGCTTTTGGTTTGATTTTCTCAATAATTTTTGTATTCTCACTGTTTTTCTTTTCATTCGTCTCTTTCACCACAACACCAGGCCGCAACACTTATTTACCATATAATTTCACTTATTATTTAATTAAAAATTTCACTGCAATTAGCGTGTAGGGTTTCGCCTTAATTAGTAGCTTTTTTCCACTTATTGTTGCTATTGCACAAATCGTAAAGGGCAAAATGCCAGAGCTAACATATGCACACACACACACACACACACACACACACGTTCAAGTACTCGTGCAAAATGTGTCACGCTTGTAGTTTTTATCAACAGAGAATAATAAAGAATTTAGTAATAATTTGTTACAAAAAAAAAATTAAATTTATATATAAGTATGTAGGTATGTTTAAAAATATGTGTGTATATACTTTTTTGTTACTCCTCACTGCTTGGCGCTGCTAACCACAATTGCACATAAATCGTATGTATTTATTTATGTACATATGCAGGTATGTACGAATGTATAAAATCAGTTGTTGATAGCCGGCGAAAATACTTGTAAATGTCGTCAAACTGGCGTTGCTTTAATTAGCGATAAAAATTATCTGTACACAAATTGTTACGTACTAAGCACTTATGTATGTTTGTATTTTATATTAATTTTTTAATTAAAAAATTTCGCTAGTAATTATTATAAATTACAAAGCGTTCAAATTTGTAAAGTTTGTATTCTTTTAAGTTTAACTAGGAAAATTAAAGCAAAAATTTGCAATTTTTTTTTTATTAATATAATTTTCTTTTTGTTCAACACTCTCTTTTCAACTAATTCTTTCATTAAACAAATTTATGACTTTTTTTCTACTCCGGTAACTGTCCGTCGCACGACTGCAACCAAAAACGGCACTAGACTAAATGTCAGTCAGTGAAATTCTTTTCAATGTGAACCAGCCCCAGCGGCAAGCGGCAAAAGCAACAGAGTAGGAAAATACATACAAACACAAAGACGCACACACCCAAATACACCAATGGACAAATAAGCGAATCTGCGCTCACCACACATACACACACATGCAATTGGTACGTGACTTCATCGTAAAGCCAACGCACGCCGGGGCATATCTTTCAATTCGAATGCTCGTGTGCTCGCCAAGCAAGTGGATATACCCACACACACACACACACGCGCACACACTCACCCACAAACGCATACATGAAACGCCTCCAAGTGAAACCCACACCAACAAACAACTGTGCCGCGGCGGGCGCTCAGTGATATGAATGTGTGTGTGTGTTTGTGTGTGTATGCGGCCGTTGGCAGTGTTGGTGGTGGCAGCGCGCTATGTGGATACAGCTGTTGTGAGCAACAAGTGAGCGCCGACGCGTTGCTCTCAATGCATTCGAAGCAAAAAAAAAAAACAATAAAAAAAAATAAACTAAATAAAAATCAAATAAAAGCAGCAAAAGGCGGTGAACAACAGCTGGGTCTTCATTGTGGTTTTGTAGTAGTGTGCAACGGTGGTCCATTAGCGATTATGTATGTATGCGTGTGTGCGCACGCTCTTAACTTTGACTTTTGCATTTCTTATTCTGTATGGAAGGCAGCAAGCAACTCCCGCTGGAATGGGTTTGGCTGGGTCCGAGTGGTTGCGGGAAAGGCCGTTTCAAGGCAAAAGTGTCGGCGCTGGTAGTAATGCTGGTGGGGTGTGCATGTGTTTGCGCTCAACGCCCGCAGTTGTACTATTTAATTGATATGTTATGTATGTAGATAGTATGTTTGTTGGGAGCGGGTGAAGCGCTCTCTTTGACTCTCTAAGAGCGTGTCTCTTCAATTTCGTTGAAAGCGAAGACATTTCCGATTAAGAGTTTGACTGTCTGCTTGGTGGGTTTTTATGTTCGTTGGTGGTTTAAAGGCGTAAAGGCTGGTAAGAAATGTTTTAATGATTGGTTTGTATAACTGGCATGTACAGAATTCAAAAAAAATGCAACAAAATGCTCTTCATCTTCAATTCTCTTCGAAAAACTTCTGTAAGAAGCAGCCTTTCATGATCTTTGCTAGTTCTAGAGAGCTAAGGTCTTTCGGAAATCACTTAAAAAGATAATCCTAAATTAACCATCGCATTTAATATTTGGACTTGACCTCAACTTAACCATCTCCTTTAAAACATCAGACCCCGCTCCACATTCTGCTCCGAGCACTTCGAAACAGCTTGTTTCTTAGACTTTCCTTTAGATGACCTTAGATAACCTCGATGACATAGACTACAAAAACAAAACTAACAGCAACAACAAAACATATTCTTTGAAAAAGTAACAACATTCTGGGTCTTTGAGGAAATTTTATCGATTTTGATTTGGTATAGTAAAATTTTCGCTAGATCTAAAGATCTAAGAGTCCTTAATGTCAATAAATGTTCTCTTCTACTCAAACTAATTTCACCTGTTCTTCCTTCAACTAGCCTCTGCTTTGCTCTGGAGAGCAATTAAGATCTAAACTTCTGCAATGGTGTCCTTTCTTGGCTGTTTCGCAAGTTTGCATCTGTTTTGTAGAACACCAAGCTCAGTTATTTTAGTCTTTCCATTTCCCAAATTGAGATCAGCAAGAAAAACTTATTCAACGAAAAGCCATGTTTATTGAATATATTTCTCCTGAAACAAAGCCGATAGAGGCTTTCAAGTAAAACCAAAACCATGAACCCCATCTAGTCTTTCTTTACTCCCCCGAACCGACCTAAACTTTTTAGCTAAGCTAAGAATGGTCAGTTTCGAAGTTGTATGATTTGAAAAAGTTTTTCATGGAAATTTTTAGAAGTTGAAATGAACTCTGAAATCTGGGCTTACTCTTCAAAAACCCTTTCCTTCATTCATAACTTTGACTTCTCTAAGGTCAACTTAGAACTCGTATTTATTATATAATATAGGGTCAATTTCATGACATACTCGTATGTCTAGTCTATAAGCAAGCCTGTTTAGTTTCACACCAATATATGTATGTATGTATGTATTTCCAGCAACATTTGCCTTAGCGCTCGTATTTTGGTAGTTTCTCCAATTTCATAGCCATTAATTCCAACATCTGATATCGCTCAGCTGATAAGTATGCAGACATACTAACAAATAAATATCTATGTACTTGCTTATATAAGGCTGTAAACGACAACACAACGCTTCTTGGTACAATTTTTTTTAAATTTTGTTTCGATTCTTCATTTTTTTTTTTTTTTTTTTTAACATACCCTTCCTTTCACTTTGCCTTTATCCTTTCTACTTGCAAGTACATACATACACATATTTTCCATTGCATTACAAGAAAAAGTAATGTGACTTGCTTTAACTTATGTAAGTATTTGTTGTTATTGTTGCCTTCTCATCAACAACTTATCACCAAAAAGTTATCAGCGCCGTACACACACTCACCGTTACTCATTTGCATTTCATTAACATCGATATGGCTTGCATTATCAACGCATACGGGAGAAAATATGTACTTATAGGAATATAAAATATATATGTATCATGCATATACAATCATACATATGTACATACATGCATGCATGAGGCAAACACTCGCAGTCATAGTCGTCACGCAGTACGCGCCTCATGCGGGTAGAGAGCATTACGAGCATCCCACGACGGAGCCGAAATTAACAGAATGCAGAGTTCAAGAGTGGCCGGATATGCTCTCTGGACGGCGCTTTTAAGAGCATATAAATACGTCTGTATATGTAGTTTTCCCCCCTCTTTACATGTATTTGACTCTAACCTGTTGTTAGCATTTTTTTTTGCCGGTCTCATGCCGGCAATTGCTCGCACATACTCACAAATACAATTACGCATACATTAGAGAGGCATGTTTGTGTATAGGGTGGCCAACGCTTGATAAATATTGTTAAAATTTTCATTGAAAATTTTGGTCGAAATCGATTTACTACAACGTTGTTAAAGAAATAAAATATCCACTGGCGGGACGACAACACAGAACAACATACTGATAAAGGCATAAATAGCACTTCAGACACTTCTCTAACTGTTTGCTGGTTCTACCACTGGAGGATTGATGGTTATTTATGAAGAGCTTCTCATGTCAACCTACGCAAAACTGAAACTGTGTCGTCCCCAGGTAGATTAAATTGAAGTGTTCCTCTGTGAGTGGTAAACTCAAAAGTATGCGAACTATGGCAGATGGTTGCCAGGTACTGGTTGATGAAGTGTTCAACTTCAAAAATGACGACCTTACGGCAGCTGTTGCAGTCTTTCAAGGCCATTCGCTATGATTGACGCAGTCTCCACCTCAAACCTGCAATGAAAAGCACCTTAGAACTTCATCTTTTTGGAGCTGGTGCCAAGCTCACCATATATTTCATGGTCAACGTCAGGCGTTCAAATAATAGAACAGTTATTAGATACTGATTTTCCTGGGAACTCGCAGATACTGCCCAGTCTGTCTCACTGTTATTTGTCAGTGAAACTATGACTCTCCGCATGGCATTATACACCGTTGAAATAGTAAAAGCTATGTTGAACGAGTTGAGGTCATCTTTAATGCCAAATAAAGTAAAACCACAAATTTTCCTAAAATAAAATCATTATTGCTTGCCTCACCCTTGGCAACTCTACGCAGATGCCATTCGCTAATTTACAAGAAGTTATTCAACTTAACTAGTTTATGGTGACTACTAATAAAACAGCGTCTACTACTCGCCGTTGCCATATAACCATTTTAGGACAAGTTAACACTCCCAGCAGCAATTGTTATGGCCACTGAAGTGGCACAAAAATTACTTTCTTACCAACGCACACTTGTTCAGTCGGCGCGAGTGAGCGTCGTTTTAAGACATTTTTTACAATACAATTCACTAACCAAACGGCCTTCAATGAGCTCATGAGCTCACGACGAGCTCACTCAAATTACGAACACTTAAACTTAGACGCTGAGTTTGTTAGTAAAAAAGAGTAATTTTAAATGAAATTACGCTCTATTAGCAACATTTCACCGACTTGTTAGCGTGTGTGTGTGTGTGTGTGTGTGTGTGTGTGTGTGTGTGTGTGTGGAAAAGTAGTTTCTGCCGAAAAATTTGCCACTCTTGTAATTTGAATTTTTACTACTCTTTTTTTTATTTTTGTAGTAACTGCATGCATAAGTGCTGAGAAATCAAGAAAATATGCTCGCGTGCATATGTGTGGCTGTGGGTGTGTTCGTAATTGAGTATCCGCATTCATAATACCACATTCTTGCCACTTAAGTATGATCAGTTAACTGGTGGCACTAGCAACAACATGCAGCGTGTTGGGTGTGTGTTGCGGTGTTGCAGTTTGGCTTAGTGCTTTTAGCTGAGTTATGCACACCCGCATGGGAGGGAGAGGGGGAGGGGTAGGAGCAACATATGCATAACTAAGGTGATCTAGTATTTTTGTGGCGATTGAGCCGTACTGAAGTAATGTGAGCAGAGGAAGCTTTCACGCAAAAAGTGTGCGCTGTAAGGGGTCTTGTCTACAATTAACTTTGCAACCAAACAGTCGACATGGTTGAGTGGGATATCGTATGAGACCCACCGAAAATCAATAGAGAAATTTTTAAAGTGGTAGAGAGAGATAACAAAACTCTGCTCTGTGTGCTATCCTGACTTTGGATGTTTTTATGGATCGCCCAATAATATTTAAATAATGTCTAACTTTCCTCTCTATAGGCTCTATAGGCGAGGTACCTTTCGATGAAACTGATTTGAGAGCTGAGTCGCAGCGAAGATGTAAATGTGCAGTAGGAGGCAGATGGGAACACCTCCGATCTCCTGTGGCCTTCTTCTGGATTTATGAACTTAACTTCAGCTTGTAGAATTATGAGGAGGAGTTCTGCATGGTAGAAGATGAGATGGAATCCTCTCACTTTCTGCTTGTACTACTTGAACAAGGCAAAGCTTTT